AAAATTTTCTAAATACAATAGGTAATTAGTTATATGGATCCGAAAAAATGGCCGTTTGACCAAAATGTCAAAATTCTAGACCCTCCAACTCGGAGTGTGTTTGACCGATCCCATTGAAATTTTGTGTCATAACTACTATTTTTTAGGACTAACCTTGGTGAAAATTTCATCCCGATCGGAAGACATAGATTTCAAAAGTTGGGTCACTTGAGGTGAAATGCCCCATATATGTTTTAAATACTTTATACAAACGTTATTCCAGAAGATCCGAAAATCCTGAAATAGTCTTGAAAGCCCCGAAATATTCCGCAAGTCCCGAAATAATCCCGAAACTCGCAAAGGGCTCGAAAAACCCATAATACCAGGAAAAATGTTGAAAAGTCCCGAATAAATCCAAAAGTAAAAAACTTCGAATATCAAAATTCGATGAAAACCGAAACCCTCAAAGGTCTCGAAAGATTCCGGAAGATTCCGAAAATTATAGCACGAAAAATGGTGAAAAGTCCCGAAGAAATAAAGCAATGTCCCAAATAGTACAATTCGAAGAATCCCGAAAAAAAATCAGCAGAAGATCTTGAAATGTTTCGAAGAATCCTGAAAATGACGAAGCATTCAATTGTATTGTCTCCAATAAACAACAAAAGGTACCAATTATTATATATTTTTCTGAACCGTTTAAAATACAAATAGAAATCTAGTTACTACGTGAGGAGAAAAAATATTAAAATCAAATAGAAACTTACTATAAACGTCAACGAAAGTACTGTAACTATATTGACAAATATTCAATTCAATTACGCGCATATCAAAATGACCGCGTTCGTTCTGAAAATGCATCCGTGAAGTAAATAACCAAGAAAACTAAAAACAAAAAAAAAATTTAATTTGCATGTTGCCTTAAGTGGAATTCGAACCCTGACCATCTCTGGATATCAACAAATTGTGGCAAGCATCTTTGCGCACTCAGCTACACCCAGGCATATAAATTTGCTTTCAAATGTTTAATTTCCATCAACACCACAGCACGGATAAACATGTATGTACTATGTATGTATGTATGTGTTGTCACCGCTCTGCATGTTTGGGATGCGTACCCTGCAAAAATTTGAGGACCAAGTGGTCCACTGGGTCGTAGTTTTCAAGTATGTGCAAAAGGAACAGGTTGCATATTAGTAACTTGTTATGCTGACCTAGACCACTTCAGCCGTAAAAAACTGATATATGTGTTGAACACGAAAAGGAGTAGTTGTCTAGGTGGTCCCATGCTATGCAGCTTTGGACCAGAGATGGTCAGGTCCAATGACATCGCATTCTTAATGTAACCATATTTTCTCCATATATTTTGGACCAATAAGTGTTCCGCCGTCTCATCCTCTTCAAGGCCGGAAATACAAATCAGCCAGTTGTCTGGGCAACGATAAGTGAATAGTCAACATTTTACTCAATGATCTCAAGACCCTTTAAGATTGGCGGCACCATGAGTTTTGCCGACCTGCAGCCCCTCGAGGTCTCAAAGTAATTGTTGATCGAAAGGCTTCGATGGCCGAAGGTATACTGGTGGCGAATAATGGGATTTTTAGCCTGAGTTTTCTTTAGCCAAATGGTCAGATGCCTCATTACCTGGATGTGGCATCCAGAGTATTTAAAACAAGTTTTTATATTTTCAAACATAATTTAGACGAAGTTCAGGAAGTCGGTTATAGTTAATCGACCAATTAGCTGACTTCACTCAAATAAACGCTAATGGAGTCGATTTAGATTCAATTTACCATATAAAGTTTGAACCCTTAATTGATATATTAGTTCCTGCATATAAATCGAGTCAAACTTTCCATGCAACCCTGGCGGGTGTGTTTAATTTTGATTTTTGGCACAATTTCAACTAAATGAGTAGCGGTAGCGCAATTAAAATGTAAATTGAGTCGAAATTATTTCTGTCTGAGCTTAATCTTAGGCGAGACTTGCATTGCCAAACTAGTTTGGAAGTAGTTAGAGGGCTGGGTAATGTCTTAAGTGCAGCTTGGCCGTCAACACGTAAACTCCTGCTTCTCCATAAGTATTCAATGGTTTGGCATGGTTTGGCATGTTCCTTAAGAGAGATTTGAAGATTGCCCTCGTTGCTTTCGATATAGAACCCAGATCCTGACTCTACTCTAGTTTTTGAGCCATCAATAAAGATTCTACAGCCTTTTAATTATGTTAAAAGCGATGCAGTTAGAATACAACCTAGTTATATTTATTAAAATATATGTATGTATTTACATATCTATTGATTTACCTTTGTGTGTATTAATGTGTACATTTTCATGTTCATACATGCATACATATGCTTCTATGTGTATATTGTCTATGAGTTTATTGTATATTAAGCCTCTTCCGTTTTGACCCACCATTAGTTTGTAGTAAATGTTAGTTGTTGCTTTATTGTCATTGCAAATGTGTGTGTGTGTGTGTGCTAGTGTTTGTATTGTCCTCCTTGTTGTG